AAACTGCTTCTTGTCAAGCAATTGTTTCTCGTTCACCGACTAAGGTTTTTAACAACTGTGAAATTAACGTGTCTTTACCCGTCTTTACCTGTGGCTACAACATCAGCTCCAAGAAATCGTCCGTTGTCGGACAGTCAGTAAATGACCAACTTAGCTGGACTGTAGTGTCCATTCTTAAGAAAGAAAGTTTATAATGAGTCCGTTAAAATATTGTTATAAATTTATGTTCCTTTGCTGTTTCATTAAAACGTAATTTGTGGATATATTTGGTGACATTAGTTTGTCTATAGATCCCTGTCACTGACATCATGCGGTACCGGTCTATTGTATTGTAAATAACATAACTAAAGACTTTTTTTTTTCATATAAGGTATATGTGTGACATATAAGGTTTATGTGTGACATAAAGTCTAACCTATGTGTAAAGTTTGTTAGCAATCAGTCAAGGCATGTTATCAGATTTACGTAAATTACTAATTTTTGGAAGATAAACTTGGCATTCAAGTATTTAACACAGTGTTCCACTGTGATAACAGCCATTGTCAAAGCGACAGACAGACCGACCCCAATTGCAAGTTAATAGTCGCTGTTTTAGACTATATTTGAACGAAAACTAAAAACGCCCACCAGGTGACTTCAGAAATGGCAGGATATACAATGCACATGAAAGGATATTACGACAGTATTTGCTATAAAGTGCATTCATCTCTGGTGTAGTTACACTGCTGAATAATAATGTCTGACGGTATAACTGAGACCTGTTGGAACACAAAATAGAAAATATATACATCATAACAGTGGAACTATGTCCCTAGTCATCTGTACCAGATACAAAGTCACCAGTCATTCAAATTGGATACAAAGTTACCAGTTACTGATAATGGATACAAAGTTACCAGTTACTGATAATGGATACAAAGTTACCAGTTACTGATAATGGATACAAAGTTACCTGTTACTCACAATGGATACAAAGTCACTGATTTTCATTATAACCAAATGGAGATGAGAAAACAGTCCATCATTAAACAATCAAAGATACTGTGATGTGATACTTACCATTCATTGACAATCCATGTGTGTACTCTTGAGAAATCCACACCATGTGAATCTTTAGGTTGTAGATGCATATGGTCCATTAAATGCTAATGTCAAACATTAGATACATTAATAGTAATAGCTACATTGTTATAACAATAGTTCTCATTTCACATACATGTGTCAAATCAACTGTACATGTGTCAAAACAATTATTATTTTTAATTTTACTTAATTCTCAGTTCATAGCTTGTCACCATTCAAATCTACTGTTCACATGCATTTGTTTCAAACCATTTTTTCTAGCTCACATATATGTGTCAATGTGTCAAAACTACTGCTTCCAATTAAGACTCATGAGTCAATGTCTACACCTAGAAAACAACTGAAGTAACTCACCTGAATATGCTCCCAATTTTGCATCAGGAAAACATCAGATTGGTCAAAAAGAAGAATATCAATAGATGACAGAAAGTCAAAGTCTCTTTGCTTTTCCCTGGAAAAGAAAACAGAGTGTTACAATAATAGATGATGTTGATACATGTATACCCATTATCTCCCTCAAGTTACTGTAACTGTGAGTGCAGTTCAGTTTTACGCAGCAAAGACTTTATTAGCAGCTATACAATGAATGGACCCCTGGAATATTAACAGACAAGCAATTGTCTCACATTTTTACCTTGATTGACAGTGTCAACCATATTGATCTCCACAAGTTTTGGTTGTTTAACAAAATCATTGTCATATGAACTGATATTAACAAAAAATTTCGCATTTTCAGACCTAGGGTTAAGAACTGTGAAGTGTCTTCAGGATTCGATTTATGGAAGTACAGAGGTTGCTTTACTAGATCTAGAGTACTATGTCCTCTTTGAAAGAAATGTTCAAGATACAAAGCAGTTTGATTTGGTCAAAATAATAATGTACATTTATATAAAAACACTGAATATTTTATACTCTATATACCAGTCTGCGGAAGGATGTGTATAATAAAAGAATAGATGATTGTATAAGTCTAGTTAATATAAAAGTGGTGGTAAGTTCATGTTCAGGATGAAAGTTGTCATACACACAGAGAACTAAGTTGTATTTTCCAGTCTTCCCTATCTCTACATGTGCCATGATATCTTTTCACTGGATTATTTTCTATTTTTTACACATTTATTTTTTGAGCAAAGTTGGTGATTTGCTGCTGCCGTTGTAATTTCAGATCAACAGTTTGGCAATTTTTGCACAAAATTTCAAATGACGTCCCACAGTTCAGAAATGCGGCTTTATTTATTTATTAATTACATATTTATTACATACTTTGCAATACAAAATTATAGGTCAATGTCACACGACAAGCATTATGTAGAATGAGGTGTGGGTAATCAGTGAACTCACCCTTCAACTCCTATCAATGTTCTTAAACCCAATGGAGATGCTATTATGATATCTGAAGAATAGAACTCTGAGTACAATCTGATACCTTTCCTGGTTATAGCAATGCCAATCCTAAAATGATCATCAATATTACCAGCAAATGTAAGCTCCCAGTCCTCTAGAAAAACAACAATATGACTAGATTAATACACTGGTATACTGGTCAGTATACATGTATATATTATATAACAGTTCAATAGTAAACGAAACTTAAACGAGTCAGTCATTTTGAATCATAACATGAAACAAATTAAAAACATGATGTAAAATGTAGTTTGAGTGCAATCAATATGTATATCAGAGACATGGATCAGACCATTCTCTCTCAGGTCTTTCCTATTGTGATGTAGCCCCCCCCCCCCCCCCCCCCCCCGGTAGTTGAGATCAGTTTCTTTATTTCTGTTTTATTTTTGACAAATGGTTGCTATTACAAAAATATTGTCAATTGTGGTTTTATTTTATTGTTTCTGGGTTTTGGTTCTTGGACATAAATGAATTTATTGCTAAAATGTACCTGACTGATGGTTAATTAAGAATGACCTGGATTTCAGTCCTAATAGAGAGACTTAATTTTTTGAAATCTGATTTGCAATACACAGTGTGGACTGCTTTGAACAACATTTTTCCTGTGAAAAAGAAATGAATATTCGGCCATCCTAATAAATGTACATATATGCGATAAGATATATGATGTACATATAAGTTTGAACATGAGCAATCAAGGTATGTTAGAGACACAGTTCCGGAACCTCATTCATTAAAACAAAATGGCTACAAGTCGGACATTTTGAATCCAACAAAAAGATGTGCATCAAAATCCTAAATTATGTACAAAATCCATCTGTATACATAGAGTAGATCTGGCTTCGGAATGACAGAAATACTTGATTTTGCTGAATTTTTAATATTAAAGTTTGAAAGTGATCTGCCAGGGCATGTCCAAGATTGAGGTGGGCACACATGAATGAATGGCTGCAAAGTGGTTACTTATCACTATATTCAGTACAACTTACCTGGTCTAGCTAATTTGGATGGATTAAGTCGTTCATCTCCATATTCAGACTGGAATCTATGCCTGTGAGCAACTTGTTGTTTGTCTGCTGGTAACAACATTTTAATAAATGTGTCAACAATCTGTAGAGCTGATTCCCTGAATGGTACAACTATCAAAACTCTGGGTCTGGTCAAGCCTTGGTCTTTAGTTTCACTGTTTAGAAAACACAATCACAGCTGGTAAATATCTGAAAGTGATGACAGTCAGTCTTATTCGTAAATGGCCACTAAGGTCTTGTTGAGACTGATAGAACCACAGAACTTGTTTTTGAAAGACTATTTGGAAGAGAAGGAAAAAATCAGGTGCATGTGCTTTAGTTTCCCTGAGACTGAAATGATACAAGATATGAAATGAAAATTGACGTATTTTGTCATTGACGAAACAGTGTAAGTTAACGATCATTTGACATAAATACATGGTTATATATCTGTTGTAGAATTGTCACAGAATAAACTGACCAATTAGGATGTAGAATAAAATAGCATTTGAATGTGTTGGACCAACCGAGTTAATAAGGTATGTGTTATAAAACATTTAATTGAATACACATGTTGTTTCTAGATGAGCACATGCTTATATTATATTACATGTAGTACTTACTCAGAGTCTGGATCAAGTTCTTTCTGGGATAATAAATTATTGTGTTTCAAAACCAAGGCTCTGCATCTATAAATAAACAATATCCAAATAAGTTTTTTGTTTGCTGGTTGATTTATGCAAAAAAAGAATTCTATGTTCTATTTTTATGTAATTTAATGCAGCAGATGTCAATTACATAGTCCCAGTTTGTTATATATTTGCTAGATATATATATGACCTGATGTGTGTGATGTATGTATGAAGTTTAAACAAGCCAGTCTGCCATGTTGGAATTTATGGTGACAGTAATGCATGTGCTTTTGTTTGATATACCGTCTGATGTATGTGTTAATTTGAACTTAATTGGTCCAGGCATGTCAAAGATATCTGTATAAAATCAACTGCCATTTGATCATCCTGAAACTGATAATGAAACAAATGCATGCGTATAAGTCCGATATAATGTCTGATGTATGAGTGAAATTTGAACTGGATTGGTTCAAGCATGTGTGGAAAATGGATGAATATCAATACACACAGGCCAATCCCATACATTCACGTTTTCCGACTTTGAAAATTTCAACAATATAATAATAAAATAATTATCAGTTATTTTAATTTCAATGTAATGTGTAATGGCTTTGATTTTGTTGGTAATAACAAGTACAAGACAAGTTTCAATAAACACATTGCTTATTAGTAGGTCACAGTAGTGTAATACAAAAAACCTGTAACTTTAGGCACTTATGGTACATAAAGTTTGAAAAAGATTGATCTAGGTTAATCTGAAATACAAATCTTGTGTGTCATTATATATGTGTGTAAAATGTGTATATAAATAGACATCACAGACAGCCAATTCTAGTGGTAATGTTTCCAATTTTAGCATAATGCTTTATTCTGATAAGGCTGAAATGACACTTACTTAACAACGTGATTTAAGACATGTAGACAGTATATGCTTCTCACTTCAGCTTGACTTTTGCAGGATCTTTCTGTGTACATCAAATCCTACATTGAAATAGAGGTGTGACAATAATAAAGACAGTACAGCAGGGGTATCAACCAAAGCACAGTGGAGGTTGATGTGACTGTGTACTGTCTGAGTGCATATTTTGCAGTATCCTCGTAATAACCTTAATATTATAAATGTACATATTTTCCTCCCAAGGATACATAATGGGAATGCAGAAATTCAAAAAGTTTAGAACATATTTAGCATAGTACCCTGGGAGCTGCCAGTTTTTTTTATTATTGGAGGACGTGTATGCGCATAATCGTTCCATAGTTGGAATTACGCCAAGCTATACATGTACTGTGATGGATATACAATAATAATTGTTATATAATAAATTTTTTGCACAACTATGTTATTTACAAGCTCTTGGCCAAAGCCACATTTCATCCATACAATTTTTTTTATTTATACTGAAGAGTGTCACTGTGTGTATATGGCTGATATGTGAACTATGTGTGTGACGAACAACTGCATTATTTGTATAACCAACATGTGATTTGTGTGTATGGCTGATGTGAACTATGTATGGCTGACATGTGCTTTGTGTGTATGGCTGAAAGTGATCTGTGTGTGGCTGACATGTGAACTTAGTGTGTGGATGACAAGTGGATTGTGTACATGTCTGACAGGTGAACTGTGTTTAGCGGACATGAAATGTGTTTGACTGATATGTGGATTATGTGAATGACTGATAGGTGAACTGTGTGTATGGCTGAACGTAAACTGTGTGTGGCTGACATGAACTTATTGTGTGGCTGACAAGTGAATTGTGTATCTGTGACTGGTGATCTGTGTTTCGCTGACATGTGTATGACTGATAAGTGAATTGTGTGAATGGTTGACGTGTGAACTGTATGTGAAAGTGTTCTTGTTTATAATAAACTTGAAAGTTATAAATTTTGTTTATATTTTAAAATGTTGTTTGTTTCAATAATCGACATGCACATTCTGAATAAATGATAAACCAATATCAAATTGTACATCATTCTTGAAAATGGGGCGAGATTTATGACTGATAAATTAGGAGATGGGTCGAATTAATTCTTCATCTTACACAGTTTTAAAAAATAGAACAAGATATATCGTTGGCTGCTAATGAAAGAATTATGTTGTTGCATTGCATGATGGGTACTGAAAACAAAGCTCATACCAAGCACTGCATTGACCATAATTCCTTTACTTTTTATTAAAGAGATGTATGAAGTAATTGTTAATAGTCTGTGTAATTCTGGTATATACCTCGAGAAGCTGATAAAATTCAAGAATAAAATTTATTTTGACTGGTGCACACATCAACATTTTGCAGGTTAAAGCGAACCTAAATGCGGCCTTAATTTATAGTTGTGTATATTCTAAACTGTATTCGAAATAATATTGCAGTGGTTTAATTTTGTTTTAATTATAACTGTAGCTTGGATAGGCATTTGAAGTGCTTGCAATTAAACACCATGGAGGCCATTCATGGAGGGGAATAAAAAACGAACGAACATATTTAACATCTGGGTACTTTTCAGAGCTATGAGTATCTGATCGCATTCGTATACGCATTGTACATAGCCGTTCATGCTGCCAAGCATTGTGTACTACTAGTATAAACTCAACTTTTATATGCACAATGTGCTTTTTATAACTTGGGTTAGAGCATTATGCATTTGAACCACAGTATTCTGAGAGTGGAAGCCGAATTGCGTTAAAGTACCGTAGTTCCCCGATCGTAAGCCCCTCCCGAGTATGAAGCCCATTCCTCTATTTTTACTACATTAGGTATTTATC